CGAAGGTGGATTGTCATGGGTAGCCGAGGACAATTCCACCGACAACGTTATAGCAAAAAACGAGGTGGCTCCTCAGGTATTACGCCCGAGAACTCTGATGCTATAGATAGGTCGTTCCCGCCAGCTCTACAAGCATAAATTATCAGTGTGGTACACAAATTCTTGTAGTATCAGTGGAAAGTGGGGAGAATTCGGAACCCGCTCCAGGGGATCAGAAGTAATCAGTATCACTGAATCAAGGCTGGAAAAAGAGCAACCCGTTGCCCATTTAACCGGATATACAAGCTAAAGGCAGGATAGGACTGACGGCAGACAGTGGGGCGGAGTACTACTGCTCGTCAAGGTTGCCTTAAACCAAAGGGAAATGCAGTTGGAGTTAGCTACTCAGAATATCCAAGCCACAGGATGTTGCATTCAACTGGGGCGGAAGCAAATGGGCGTAGCACACATACATATAGAGCCCTTAATACGACGTCAGAGGAAGATACGAAGCTGCCTATGATCCCACAACAGACTCCGGCGAAATTCCAGCTCTTTGTCATCACTGGCGACTTCAATTTTCCAGAGGTGGTATGGTCAACGGGGTATGCATCTACGGGATCCCCAGAGGCTCCATTCCGCAAGAAAGAGCTCTGACACAGCATGTGACAAGAGCAAAAAGGTAACGAAGACAAGAGAAACCCTCGGTACTAGATCTGGTTGTCACAAGATACCGTTCGGAAATAACTAGTCTAAATATGGAAGAACCGTTGGGCAAAAGTGACCACGAAGTTATTCGCTTTAGATTGATGGTTAGCTATCTTAGGCATGGACCTACTTTTATGTGTCTCTATGGTAGCATAAACGTCACAAAATTGGAACAAGCCGCAAATACCATCAGCTAGTACACGATGTCCTCGGGTGTACCGTGCAAGATAGATGGAACGTAGTTAAAGGAGGGTTAAATTACCTCACAGAAAGGTTCGCACCACTGAGGGAAGGACGAACCATGCATAGACCAATATGGTGGAAACCCGGGAAAGAGAGGGCTGTGAAAATTTACCGACAACACTGGGATCGTTTTAAGCTTTACGACACCCCACAAGCATGGAGTGACTACAAGCGGGCGGGCAACAGATGTCAAGATCTTCAAAGACGTACCAAATATGACTTTGAGTTTAACTTAGCGCGAGGCATCAAAAAGAACCCAAAAAGCTTCTACGAGTACGTACAAGCCAACACACGCACACGGGAGAGTGTACGAGCTCTAGCTTTGTCCGATGGATCCACAGCTACGTGTAACCGCGATAAAGAAGAAACCATACTTAAGTTCTTCAAAAGCGTTTCTAGGGCTCCAGCCAACTTGGATAATCCGAGGTTGGCAAGATCAACCGATACGTCTAAGTTTGAAGATATTATCATCGATAAAACAGATGTACAGAGAGGACTCCAGAAGCTGAACAAGCACAAGTAAGTAGGTCCGGATGGAATCCATCTAGCCATAGTGCAGCCGCTGGCCGCGGTACGAGCCGGGCTGCTGACGGTACATTTTAGGGAGTCAGTGCAAACTGCAACGCTACCCCAGGACTGGCGTACAACTACCGTAGTAGCATTGCACAAGACTGGACCAAAAAAACAAAAAACTATACACCCGTTAGCCTAAAGTCGAGGCGGTGTAAGTGCCTCCAGCGACTGATCAGAAAACAGATTGGCTTACAGCTGACTAGCAATCGACTCCTGATACCGGCACAGCATGACTTTGTGCAACGGAAATCATGTCTTACTAACCTGTTTGTATTCCTAGACAACGTCGCTCAGCGTATGGATGAGGTGCAAAATGTAGAAGTCTGTCAGATGACTTTTGTAAAGTATTTGACTCTGCCAGCCATAGATTGTTGGACTTCAAAGTTCGGAGCCTGGGCATAACAGGTAGAGCCAGAGAATGGATTGTAGCCTTTTTGAGCAACCGCACCTTCCGGGTCAAGTTGAGTGACTACATTTCTAACCATGAGGTGGTTAAAAGTGGGGTTCCCCAGGGCTCCGTGACAGGCCCCTTACTTTTTCCCATATTCATCAACGAGTTGGCACAGGATCTTCAAAATCCGTACTTTATGCTTGCTGATGATGTCAAAATAACAGGGTTAAACCTGCAAAGGGACCTAGACGCAATTCATCGATGATCGGTCAAGTGGGACCTCCATTTGAATCTAAGCAAGTGTCAGTTCTTAGCAACGAGAGCGGGGGTATACTCGTTGAATGGGGCTCCCATGAAGCAGGCCCCGCAGATGAGGGATCTAAGGGTTCTTATGACCCAGGATTTTAAACCATCAATCCAGTGCTCCAAAGCTGCAAATCAGTCTAGTGGGCAGCTGTTCAGGCTGTGTGCCACAGTAACATGCAGACAGTCTGAGGTTTTTGTCCCCCTGCATAAGTTGATTGTTAGCCCACACATAGAATATTGTGTGCAGGCATGGGAACCGTATTACAGGAGGGATGTATCATGTTTAGAAAGAGTGCATCGCCTAGCTACCCGAATGATGGCTTGGCAAAAGGGGATGAGCTATGAGCAGCGGTTGAGTGGTTTTGATCTCTTTTTGCTGGAGCGTAGAAGAGTGAGGGGAGATCTGACAGAGACTTTTAAAATTGTAAGAGATCTATCACGTCTTAACCTAGATGACTTGTCTACGATTTATCGTGCTCAAAACACGAGAGGTCATGACTATAAACTTCAGCAGAACCACGCCAGGTCGGAAGTACGGACAAACTTCTTCGCACACAGGGTCATACCGATGTGGGACAGGTTACCCGCAGAAGTAGTCAACTGCGCCAATGTTAACGCCTTCAAAGTTGTCCTGGACGCATGTTGGTCAGCAACGTTCCCCGAAGTTAGTATTTAGTGTTTAGGGTGAGAACATCAAGAATAAATTCCACATTAGCCGAAATTTCGTGAACTTGAGTAAACTCGGGCTTCATGTTGGAATTGTTCTCAAACTGACTGTCCTGTCACATGTGATCTGTGTATACGAATGCATGTGTACTTGAGGTCTCTAACCAATGAGGCGAGAAGATATCCTTGCTTATTTTCCTCCCTTTCAGCATACCCCCAAGGAGTCAACGTTCTGACAACGGGGCTAAATTGGGAGGATCACATATACCAAATCAACTGCACGTAGTGTTGGAAGCTAATCCCATCCACTGAAACACACCGAACTGGACGCTCGATTGGCAAGAGCCACATTCTTCCTGTGCAAACTGAGCTGAGCTGAACTGAACTGCGCTACTCGAAAACTTCAATTCTCAAGGCTGTAAATCCCCGTCGAAGGTCCAGTGGGACGTGCATGTTAATCATACTCAGTTCAAAATTGTAACAATCGTTCTTCCACCACACTGTAACCTACCCTGTCTAGTCCTTTGCTCAAGGTCAGCAGTGCTCTTTTACTGAATCCATTGTCAAAAATGCATGTAAACACATTTTCTCCATTTCAGCGGCAATACAAGTGGTGACGAGATGAGTGAACTGGCTACAATTATAAAGGAGGTCGCTGAAAAGCTGTTAGTTAAATATCTTATGGTGACCAGTCTGGCTTCTCAGAGTTCTTTACTTCAACAAGAGGAGATTGGAAGTTGGTTGGGATGATTCAATTCCGAAGACGGTTGTGAACCACTTATTGCCCGTATGTCTTTTGTTATGTCGAGCAATTTATCGACTAAGAAACCAAAACTAGCCGACAAAAAGAGTTTCACAACTGTGGATGAGTTTCCCGAATTACGAAGGCTCTTGGTTCTGTTAGAATCGGTTAGTGGCCCTCATGATGATCATTTTTAGGTATTTTAGGAAGGCCTTGGAATAGATGAACCGAAAACGGAATTGTACATTAAAAATGCTTTGGAAGAGTGCATCACTCGGCTGAATTTCATGGTTGTTTTATTACCTGTTTCTAATATTTTTGTTTAGAATTATCAGGATCATTACCAAGTTTCTCAAGCTGGTTTGCAGAATTCGGTAAGATAATTAACACCTGTTTACAAGCAATAGACAAATCGAAGAGAAAAGTTCTCTGCAAAGACAGTAAATTCAAGTTTCTTGAAAACTGGGAGTGAAGTTTTTCCGTATGTATTTTGTCTAACAATTTACCGTCACCTAACAGCCCGGTAAACGCGCCACGTACCCCCACACGCAGAGCTGTTCCCCCACGTATCGGCAAAAGCAGCGCAGAACGAATTGTTAATTTTGCCTCAAAGATGATAGCAAATCTTGTAAGTAAATTCAGTTTTATTAGAGTTTTAATTTAAATCAGCAGAGGCTGATACTTATATAAGTATCAGAAATATTTCTGATACGCTTGATCCTAACAGAATTTCTCTGATTCTCTTCTTAAACCCGTTTAACTGAAAATAATACACTGGTTGTACTAATTTTACACTGCGACTGTTGTTAGTTAATAGACATATATTTTTATAATGTCCATATGTACCTGAAACATAATTTATCCGTTTAAATGTTATTCAAATATTTTTGTGGGGTATTATGCTCACATGGAATTTTACCACAGAAATTTCCATTTTGCGCGAAATTGAATACTTCTTAACAACTACGGGGCTGTTTCCTATTGTATTGTATTGTATTGTAACAACTTCTGCAAACATGAAGCCCACATTTCATTTAGAAAATATACAAATTGGAGCAAGGGAGAAAATAAAAATAACAATGAAAAAAGAGATTTAAGTTCCAAAACTGTTAACAAATTCTGTGAAAACCTGTTCTTTAATAACAAAAATAAATGCTAATAAGGTACTGTGGAGTTACGATAAATGTTTATTATAGAGGAAACCCAACGATATTGTGATCTAGTTGAGGGAGGGGAACAACAGGAAGTTAGGTCAGCATGTAGCGGATGTGTAGAGTCGATGAGAATCTTATGTGCAAACTTTTGACGTGCATTCAAATGACATTCGCATAGGTTAGTTATCAACTCCCTTAGTAGGATTGAAGAGACACGGCTAATGATGGTCAGTCAACGTCGAAGCAAATTAAAACCTTTCTTAAGGAGGTTGGGAAAAATAACAGATGAACAATAATTAAAACAGGGAAAACACACTGATACACAAAGTTGGAAATAATTGATTGAGAAATACGAAACTGACAAAGTTTACGGATATGAAAAGAAAGTCTTCGAAGCTTACTGACGACGTGTTGAATGTGAGAGGTCCCGTGAAGGTTATTATCAATAGAAACGCCCAGGTATTTAATACAGTTGACTCGAGATACTGGTTTGGAACCAATCGATACCAGTTCAGATAGAAAAGAAGAACCTGATAGTGTAAAGAGACATTCGAAACATTTGGAGGGATTAAGAGAAAGGCCCGATGTGGCGGAAAACCGTTGGACGTTATCCAAGTTGTCAGAAAATTCTGAAAGACCAGAAGAGTCAGAGATGGCCTGACACAAGATCACATCGTCAGCATGCTTGAAGAGGGATGTAAGCAGACAAGTCATTAATATACGTAGAAAATAAGTATGGGGAAAGAACTGCACCTTGGAGTACTCCAGAGCTGTTCAACAACGGTTTGGATTTCTTTCAACCTGACCTGATAAATTGAGTTCTCCCGGAGAAGTAATCGGCAAGCCAAGCTAATAACTGTCTAGGACAACCAAAGGTCTCTAGTTTATGAAGAAGGGACGGGGAATAGAGTCAAAATCAGATGAGTACTCCAGAAACACAACGGACAGATTTCGCAGTCATTCAAGGATTTGGTAATTTTATGTAAAAGAGAGGAAATTGCATCCAGCGTGCCTCTGTTTGGTTTATAAGCAAACTGAAGAGGATCATATCGGACATCAATGGAGGACTGAATGCGCTTAAGAACAACACGTTCTGCTAGCTTTAGTCCAACAGAGGTTGAAGCAATAGAACGAAAGCGTTTGGTAAGAACTTTTGAAGAAGAGGATTTGGAAATGGGAACAATTGTTACTGGTTTCCAACAGTCTGGTATAAAGAAGTTTTTTAAGGAATCGTTCAAAAATGATGTGAACATTTCACTAAGAGAAAAGACCTCATGTATCAGAAGGGAAGATGAACGACCGTCGGGAACAACATTGCACGTGGTTTTCACGGTACGCAAAAGCTCAAGAGTTTCTTCTTTCGAGACGGCCTCTACTTGAACGGCATCGTCCGGAACAAATGGCGTGATCGCATCGCTTGATGGGTGGATAAATGCTGCATTAACACTGTCCAAATCTGTTGTAAAATTCGATGTCTTGGATTTGGTCCCACATAGCAATTTGATATCTTGTCAAATTCGCTTGCTATTGTTACATAGCAGAAGCTGGGAGGCGTACGAGGCAGAGAGGCGTTTGATTTCAGCTTTAATCAAGTCGGTGTAATGTTTGACAGCCGTAGAGTCTCCAGATTTGTACGATCGTTCCTTCTGTCTTCTGAATGATTTCAGCAGTAGAGATGCTATTCTCCCGTTACAAACAAATAGAGTTTCAAAAAGGCAGTATAGGTTAAACGTGTGGTTAAGTGTTTCAGTGAACAAGTAGTGGTTTCAGATTGACATTGTAAACTGCACAGGTGTTATCGCCATACTTGGTCTGCCTTTAGGTTGCAGATGCTATCTATGGCAACTGAACACAAGTTGCCTCAAATCTGGTAAGTAAATTGGATAGCAATACGATTTTTTTTTCAATTCTGTAAGGATACTGATACGCGCGAACAACAGTTTATGGACTGAGGCCGGTGGGGACAGGTTTATACGTGCAACGAAATAAAGTTACTTACCGCGACAATAAACCAATCCACGGTTTAGCCCAAACAGGTCAAGTGCATTTGGCAAAACAATAGTGTCTTTCCAGCCATAGAAAATTTGTGGTAAGAAAGTGGAAACCGAATTTCATCATATACCTGTTCCACATGTATGGTTGTTTGCATGCTAGGAGACGCTGCTTGCTTAGAACATTTGCGCTATCTCAGTTCTGCTTCTCTAGCATAGATTCCTGCAGAATCATCAATCATCATCTTGTTTCTTTAGCTGGATCCTTTCTAACTATGTTTATTTCAATAACACCTCCTGTGAAGTTTCATCAATATACTTTCAGTCATTACTCTGTCTACTTTGGGATACTTCCGAGCGTGGTCTGGTTAAACCTCTGGTGCCTTTGAGGTAATAGCGAGTGGTCGATCCCCATATATTACATGGGACATGTGTTACACATGCCACCAAATAGTTTGCCACTGCGAGCGATGTTCGTCGAGGCAGATAGTGGAAAAATGCCAAGCATGGTCATGCTGAAACCTAGAACGGGAGTATGAAAACCCTAACCAAGAAATTGGTTCACATATGTCCCGTGAGGCTTCCTGGCTGGGGACCTCGTGATAATCGTAACCGATGATTAGAGACACTGGGTGATATGGTTGAGTATTGTAAACAGTGACATTCATGCATCTTCCCAATTTTTCCAACATTAGTTCACTGAACGTCTCTATTTTCTATTTGACCCTACTCTCAGCTTTCCTGTCTTTCTCCTACTGTTCATCAAAACGGGTGGCCAAAAGACAGCAACCAACACCGACGCACAAAAGTGCGTGGTTATTAGTTGTTCAAACTGAAACTGAAAATTGAATACTTTCCCTTAACTAACTGGTCATTGTTCCCGACAGGTACCAGGTTACCTAGAATCATGGGATATTATGAGCAGGGATGCTTCTGCAAGCATTAAGATAGCCCATATCTCCATAGATTTTTGCACTATCAACCTAAGAATAGATGTTCATGTTTCACGCGGTTTGACGCAGTTTTCTAGTAACCTGGATTCTGTTAGCAGTTCTAATGTTTGGGATTGGATTATGATCCTCCAAGTAAACTGGATATTGTTTTTCCATCTGGATCTGGTAAATTTCTTATAAATATCTCCAAAATGTTTATCCGAAATGGAGATTGATTGAGAATTAACTAAACCTATCATTTATATTCGTTGCGTAGAGCCATCGTAATATACTACCAACTGTGCATTCACATACTTTGTTATAAGAAAGACAACTAAAAGTTGTATAGTTTCAACTTTATTAGTAATTCAAACAAAGTGAAAAATTGCCCTTTCAATTGAAGACTTGAGTCGCAGGACATGAATTTCTTTCTTTTATCCCCCCCCCCCNTTTTGATCCGACAATGTGTCAAGCAAAGACATGCTCTAAAGAAATCTAATGAAGTGTAACGTATTACTAAAGTTGGATATTAAAGTTTTGTTTACGTAAGATAATAACTAAATCGGATAAGTAAAACGCCCTTCATAATGAAATTCACAATGAATAAATCTATGAGTGAATACGTTTGTGTGTTTATAAGTATTTAGCACTTATTACCATTCTATCTATCCCACATTGTTTACTCCAGCTTCGACTTACAAAGCAAGCCTACATTGAACAACCGGAGACAAAAACGGCGTCATCTGTTTGGTTTATTCCAGTGAAACCGGAGAAAAACGCTTCAAAAGTTGCTAAAATCAGTCCTAGACATATTCCCAAAAAGGTGACACCCAATCAAAGTTTCGACCAACCAGATAAAGAAAAATTGTCCGAAGAGAAAGGAGAATTAAGAAGTTCAAAAAATCGATTGAACGTCAACCTTGGTGACACTGCTCAAAAGAATCAAGGTTTGGTTACAGGGAGCAAGTTGTTTCACAGAATCAGCACAGAATCACCTTCCGATGTTTCAAACTGTGATGAACTAAAGAAGAGTAAGCAGTCAATAATTCAGAAGGAGGGAGACATAATTCCGGGTGAACACCCGTCGAAATTGAATAAAGAACTTGGCAAGCAAACACACCTACCAGAGATGGAAGATGGAATTGACAATCCACTCATACAATCTGGTAATCCCCAACCAGGTTCATTAAACCCCGAAAAGACAGCAGCCTCTACCTCACATCTGAAACCTGGGGACATTCCTCTTACACGAATTGCTAACAGAAGAGTCATCAAAGCCCCATATGATTATCTTAAAGGTTATACAAAGGATCAGTTTCAACTTGAACCGGTTCTTCCGCGCTATCCCGTTCAGTACAGCAGGACATATAACCACGCTGATATAGTATCTAATACGGAACTTCTACAGCAAGCTCGAAAGTATGGATCCCCAAATTTCGTTGCACGTCTGGACAATGAGATCAAGCGCATGCAGGCAAATTCTGAAGTAGGTCAATTCCACACCGAAATTGTCGTCCACTCTAAACAGTGACCGTGTATCATGTTTAAAACCATAAAACTTTATTCAACTTATTCCAGCAAGAATTGTCCCAAAAGCATCTGTGAATCAGCCGAAAGGGGCATACTTATCTTGAAATTCTTTTCAAGGCTTCTAATAAACAGAGTTGTCAAATAATAAGCTGCTTATTTGATTACTTCAAGGAGCGGTATACGAAAGCTACCCATTAGGTATGATTCAGAATCCTAAGCATAATAAATTAACTCAAAGATTTAGTTATATTTTCTTATTAGGGATACTGCTCGGCGCATCAGGCTTGTGAGCGATCGATAGATTTCGTTGCGTACTGGGGATCTGGTCAGTCTATCACTTGCCTCAGTAGTGTTACACAATGGGCGTTTTTACTTTTTTCATGGGTGCAATTCAGTTTACTTGGAATCATAACCGAGTCAAGTTCTGAATTCTCAAAAGCTGACATAGATAAGTAAACCAATAACGATAGGGTTTTGCTTGGTCTACTGTTCCATGAAGCTACTGTTTGTATTGCATGAAGGTAATTAAGTTTTATATAGCGAAAGTAGCCGTTAAAACCCAAAGGCGACATTAATTTTAATGAAAATTTAACAGAAGCCAATGAACTGTTTTTGATGACCGACTTGGTGCTATGGACAGTTGATGGGAATTATCAGCAATATTTTATTTAGCTGTTCCTGCTACGATGAAAAATACAGTCCCCTGTGTTTAGAACAGGAAACCGTATGTTTGAACTACACGAATAACATTTAAAATCGTTATTGCGTGGCTACAGTAATTACGTCTGTTTTGTAAACAGCAATGCACACATCCCCCTTTCTGTAGGTTCTCGTGGAATTAACTAAACCTGTTTACAAACAAAGCCCTTGAGTTCAATTTTGATGAAATAGTAATCGGAAATCACCTTCTACTAAATATTGTCAGTCGGAAGCCGTGGTTTAATCACGGAAGCAATTTTATGAGAATTAAATAACTATTCAAAATTAGTAAAGGCTATTGTCAATTGGGAACAAATGGCCTAATTATTTGCCCTTTCAGGAACCGCGGGAAGGCTACTGGATTCCAAAGAACAATATTTACTCGTTAGATTTTTTCAAAACAAAACAACCTACGGAGAAGCGTAGTCGAGGCTCTTTGAAGAGGTCCCCACTCGGAGAAGCTTGGGGATCCGCTGCGCAAAAACTAAAATCTCGAAGTCCTTACGCTGATGCCGACAGTGTAGTGTATGAAATATCTTCATCTAACACTCAGTGAGTTAATGAACTGACTTTCACTATGTAATTCGAAACTCTTTTTTTAACAATGATGGATTGAATGTCTTCTGTATATTCTAGTTAGTGAATTGATATTTCCATCCGATAAACTAAATTTACTTTGAGATGTAGCCTTCGGGGGGAAAACACTAGTTTCTTTTATGCCTTATTCTGTTTGACGTTTTAGTGATTTCTCTAATAACGAAGCAGCACCCACAGTTAGTGAGCGCGTACTGAATCCTCCAATCGGTTCAACCTTTAAGTCAAATATCCGTCGATCGAATGGAATTAGAGAAGACACAAAAGGTTTATTTTTTCCCACGGATCGGCGTCATACAAATAGCAAGCGGCGTGACATTCTATCACCTCCTACACCGGAAATAAAGCCAATTGAATTGAGTCGGTCAGAACGATTGCACAAATTG